CTAAGGGTTGGAGGTCGTTTGCATTTATCGAACATTCCTTATAATCAGAAGCACCCAATGCTTCTTTCCTCGAACCATTTTATTACACGAATACTGTTTCGGGAAGAACATTTGCAATTAGGTCATGCTGGTCCTAAGTTGTTACTTTCGTCAATAAGAGAATCTTTTTGGCCAATTTCCGGCACCAATTTAAGCAAACAAACAGTACGTTCGTGCATTAAGTGTTTTAGAGCCAAGCCTGCATTTATCACTCCTATAATGGGCCAATTACCGGCAGATCGGGTTATTCCTCAACCACCATTTTTTACAACTGGTTGCGACTATGCCGGGCCAATATTACTAAAGCAAAAGCAAGGTAGGGGAGGCATAGAAATAAAGGCTTACGTGTCAGTTTTTGTTTGTTTCACAACACGTGCCATACACCTTGAATTGGTTACAAGCTTAACATCTCAAGCTTTTGTATCGATGTTTAGACGCTTTACCTCACGTCGGGGTAAGCCTCAGAGAGTTTATTCGGACAACGGCAAAAATTTCGTCGGAGCACAGTCTGAGCTGGCTGAGCTAGGACAGTTTTTAGAAAGCAATGAGTCCGATCTTATAGAATCATTTTCGAATGAAGGCGTTCAATGGTCTTTTATACCTGTTCACGCTCCACACTTCGGTTGACTTTGGGAAGCAGGGGTAAGAGCTTTCAAGTTTCATCTGAAGCGCATTTTACCGGTAAACTTAAAATTAACCTTTGAAGAGATGATGACAGTGCTAACACAGATTGAAGCAATCCTCAATTCTCGCCCACTGGTCCCATTATCCTCTGACCCCTCTGATTATGATGCCCTAACACCCGCACACTTCTTGATTGGCCGAAGATTGACGTCTTTACCAGATGCGAATGTAATGGATATAAATGAAAATAGACTTTCTAGATACCAAAAGGTGCAACAAATACAGCAACTTTTCTGGCAACGCTGGTCCACAGAATATTTGCAAGAATTACAGCACCGCGTTAAGTGGAAAACTAACCATCAGACATTGAAGGTGAATACGTTGGTATTGGTTAAGGACGATCAAGTTCCGCCATTAGCTTGGAAGTTAGGTCGAATTGCTATTATTCATCCTGGACCCGATAATGTCGCTAGAGTAGCGACAATACGCACAGCAGGTGGACTTATTAAGAGAGCGTTTTCTAAACTGTGCCCTCTTCCCATCGATCCTGAAGAAAAGGACAATTTGTGTGTGTCAGCAGTTCAGTCAAGTGAAAAATAAAAATTGTGTCGTGTTAGATATAGGTTGTTGATAAATGAATCATTTTGCCCCTTTAAAAAAAAAAAAAAAAAAAAGCCTAATGTATTTTGAAAGGGATCCTTTCAAGGCGGGGGGCATGTTTGGTTAATTTGTTTATTATTTTTCTTTGAATTCAATTTTTGTTTTGTATTTGATCACATGTACGCACCTTTAGAGTAATCTGTTGTTTTTATATTGTACGACGGAACGCAGCGGACAGGACAAGAGAAATCGCCTAAATGAACAAGGAGAGGACGAGTCTGTCTGTCATGTCTGTCGTTCGAATTATGATTGATAACTACTTCTGATTTTTTAACAACAAAATAAACACGGCAGTTTAAAATAATTTATTTACGAGTCGTTTTATTTAAAAACAACCACTCGTGCTTAAAAATGAACAAGATAATTTTCCACACATGCGTGTTTTCTTAAAATTTCACGAGTTCGCAGGAAAAAAGAAACAAAAACACGCAATCTCGAGGTTGCGCGATCAGTTTCTGAAATAACGAATGTTAACCGAGTTACCTTATAACTCATAATGCTTATAAGTTATAAGCATATCCATATTTTGGGTTTCCTATATACAGAAGCGTTTTGTTTTTTTTTTTTTGGAAATGTCAATTTTATTTTGTAATAAAGAGTATTTTTTTATGAGATATTGTTTTATTTCTCGATATATCAGACTCAATAGGTACAACTGTTCTAATTTATCTGGAAGAATATATCTAAATATTCTAAACTAAGTTTTGGGCTATTTTAAATTGCGAGTGGTTTAGATGACATTGCCACCTTTAACCTAAAATGTTTGCACATTTCAGGCATTTCAAGAAAAACAGACTGTACAGGGACCGCTACGAGGAATGAACAAGAACTTATTTTCGACTTTCCCTGTATTTTTGGAGAAATGCAAAATAGCAGTTCGATGTAACTTTTTCCGTAAATTTTATGAATCTCTTTGGTATAAGTATAGCTACAGGGGTGTCCCAAAATGCTGTTAGTAACGAATCATAGCTTTTCTAAATGGAATGCCCTGTATATTTGTTTATGTTTAAAATCGTCATAAAATTCTAAGAAATTCGATATATCATGCCTCCTATCCTAACGCTGACGAGTTTGCCAAAAATATTGTCAACTTATAAAAATTCACCAGACCATGCACGGATTATACAAATTGAGTAAATTTCCTGAGTATAGGTCACGCCCGTATACTATAAAAATCCGGCTGCCTTTGCTTTGCTTTTGGCAGCAGTATTTCAAGTACGTACGTACGCACAGCATCAATAAAGAGTACAAGGTTGGTCTTGACAGTTTTAAGCCTTTAAGGGTACGAGCCTTTAAACTGTTTCGTTCGTCACAACTTTTTGGGGCACCCTGTAGTTTTTTTTTTTAAAATTTTGCTTTCTAGTCAGTACCACCACTGTGGTTGTCGACAAAGCCTCCAACATCACACACAAACCAAATCAAACAAACAAACATCCATGCCATAGGCGGTTCTAGGTGGATGCTAAGCCCCCCCAAATCTCGAATTTGCCCCCCCAAATTTGGATGTGGCAATCGAAAAAATTCTATCTACTTACATAATTCCAGTAATTTCATAAAATAAAATAATTAATGAAATTACTGGAATTATGTAGATAGAAACACAGAAAAATAAAATAAAATAATTAATTTTTCTGTGTGTCCACCCACTCCACTGTCGACTGGCACTTGGGCACCACATAAGAAAAAAAATGCAAGGTACGTTGCCAAATTGTCCCGTTGCGCGGTGGTGCCTTATCTAAATATAGGAACAAACCATTAATTTGTATGAGCCTGCTGGCGCAGTGGATAAACGTGCGCTGCTTTTGGTCCATTCGACCCGGGATACCCAAGAACCCGAATCTCGCGACGTCCTCATCCATCCATATATCTACCACCCAGCCCAGCAAACACAAAAGGGCGCTGAGGGCGCGATTTTTTCAACGATTTTAACGACTTTCGGGTAAAAATTGGGCGTGGCACCACCAGAATTTTCCGCCTTCGCCGGAGTACCCTCTGGCGGCACCTGCGGTGAGCTTCCTCTAGTGAATACACCCTCGGGTATCACAATCGGATCTCACAAATTTGGAAAAAGTACATTTATGCTTTATCTGCGAGGGGCTTCAGCCCCCCCAAATCAAAAGGTCTAGAACCGCCTATGCACCTAGCCGGGATTCGAACCCGAGACCCACTGCATACAAAGCGAAGACACAACCGCTGAGCTGCTTGGGTCTGCTATAGGTATATAGAAGAAAAAAATTCTAATTTCATTGAAACAGTTACATCAAACTGCTGTTTTGGTTTTCTCCAAAAAATACAAGGAAAGTCGAAAATATTTTCCTGTTCAATCCTCGTCGGCAGACCCTGAACATGATTATTTTTTAACCAAATTTTAACGGCATTCGACATTTTGCTAAAGGACTTTTTTTTTAAATAATTTATTTTTCGTTGGCCTATTTCCGCTACCAGGGAATTTGTCACACTCTATCTGGTAATTGTGCCGAACCCATCTTTGTCGATGGTAGGGATCTTTATCGTGCACCACATCACTGATACACGGAACCAACAGTTTTGCATCGCTTTCCGAAGGATGGCGCTCCTTGTTTAATATCAAATATGAACATCAACGTTGACCGGACCCAGGACCAGGGATTGAACCTGGGCCCACGCGCTGCTAGGCTGAAATGCTAACCGTAGTACCACAACGCCGATTGCTGGAGGACTTACTAACCTCATTTTATCATGTAAAATAAACTCTTTAAGCTTTTTGACGTATACCTACGTGTCATTGTTTGCCTAAATAATTAGACTTCAGCCTTAGTAAAAGCTGGGAATTATACGGGAGAACACAAATTTATTATCGAACGAAGGAGTATAAAAAATACCAGAGCATGTTTTTTGTTAATACTAAATTGCCGCCTACCTATAAAAATGTTATAATTTTTTATTATGGCGTTGTGCACTAGTCACTATAAGATGCCCTAATATCTAATCAGAATAAAGGCAGATCCCCATCAATCAACAAATTACCTCCAGTGTGACAGAGCCAATGTTTTCACTTCGGGTCTATCTTTATTGTGAATCGAGACCAACGGAAAAGACAGGCCGTGGCGCTAAAACCACGTGACTAATTCAGTCTCATATTATGTCTCATGGTTGTGATGGAGCAATATAGCAAATAACTCCATTACAACTCACAACAATGAGACTAAGTTGATCACGTGACTTTTAGCGCCATGGTCTGTCTTTTTCGTTGGTCTCGTTGTGAATAGACTTTAATCACTTTATTATCAATCCAAGTTTCAAGAAAATTGCTCAAAAAGACTCGAGATACACAGGGGGCGTGTGGAGCTTGCCATTAAATACCAACCACACCCTATATTGATTTTTCTACAAGATACATGAAAAGTTTCATTCTGACGATTTGGTTAGTCAACACAAACTTGACGTTTTCTGATTGTCACCTGGCAAAAACCTTTACCGATTGCTGCCATGAGAGACAATCGACAAAGTTCACTTTATATCGATTGCTGCCCTGAGAGACAAGCGACAATAAATTTTGCCCAATGAAAAATATAATATTCATAAAATCAATTTTATTTCAATTTCTTTAGTTTTGATGGAAAATCATTAAATGTTGTAGAAAAACTATTGTGTATTACGAGGGCAAAAGGCCATAGTCGATTTCAAGACAACATTTTCTAAATCGAAAAAGGCATGTTTTGCGCTCTTAATAAACAAATAACTATTAAAACCATAGACATATTAAAACTGTAGTTCGAACAGTTTTGGCACTTTACGGTAGGAAAGAAAAATAAAAAAAAATTATGAAATTTTATTGAAATGTTATGCGTTTTATTACAGTTGATAAATGAGTTATAATATAGCGATTGAATTTGTGATCTTAAATAGATGTATAATTCGATAGCTTTGCTAGGATCCCTGGTTAAGGTCAATCCAGTTTCGGACCTTATTATAGACGCTAGCTCAAATATATCTATATCGCAAGGTTCATCAATCTTGGATGGGGTGGGAAAATCCCCTAAACCATGGTGATTTACTCTGCATAAATAGTCATAAGTTCCATATATTTGAGGCATGTAGTACATTAAAAAAGGACGTCCCCTTGGTGCTATGCGATTTCTTGACCCAGCAATCCGATGAAAGTTCCACTCTTCAACGACGATATCTAATTCTTCCTGAAAGTGGCGATAAATCATAAAAAAAGCAAACTTTGGAATTACGTAACAAATAAGGTTAAACTGGTATTTTGTTTTTACTGTTACGGGGTGAGCCATCCAAGAAGAAAAATATGATTTTTTTCTCAATTTATTTTGTAGTAATGAAGTGCATTGAATTGTGAAATAAAAAATCCAGGTCCGTGATTAAATTATGAAAGTTTCGAATCCGAAACGTCGGATTGGAAAATGAACCTTGCCGTGTTGTAGAAGAGAAAAAGTAACAATGGCAAAGTAGAAATTATTTTCATCTCTTATATCAATTATCCTATAAAATTTTAGGAAAACCAAAAATCTGGGAAGAAATAGTAAATTTGTAAATTTTAGAATTAATATTAAAACAACTTCCACTTTGTCACTTTTCCCCTCTACAGAACGGCGAAGTTACAATTACAGTTTACAATCCGACGTTTCGGATACCTAGATTTTTTATTTCACTATTCAATGCTCTTCATTACTACGAAATAGATTCTGATACCATTTTGATTTTTTCGAGAAAATCAGCATTACTTAGAGAATTCCAAAACAACGCCATCTAGTGACCAATAACAAATTCATCACGGTACAGGGTGTATTACAAATTTCAATGTATTACCATTATTAACTGATGTCTACATAATTCTGTATGAACAGCGAACATCCTGAGAAATATATCTGATGGTTATCCACGATCAATATCATTTTTGAGAAATTTTATAGTTTTCAAAATAATGAATTGAAAAAAAATTAAACAAAATGCGATGCAAAAAATTTGTCAGATTAGCCAGACTAATAGACAATGAGCGAAGCTTACCTGAATTAATTTTGGAAAACAAAGCTGAGTTAGTGATTTGTCCAGCAATGATCCGTCGAACAAACCATCATCTTTCAACTGATTAAACATATTTAACCAAAATTGAGCATGATGTTTGCGTAAAATAGCCCACCATGCTTCTATTCTTTGATTCGCCGGGCTAGTACCATATATAAAAGCGGGTGCGTTTTGCTCTTGAAGACCAAAATTGGAGGATTCTGTTTTTAATATGCACTGAATATTTTCTACGATACCATTTTCTGTTCCCATATCTGCTCTAAGCATTCTTGGACAACCTCCCAGAAATCTTACGCAATCTAGATAATAATTTGCTATAATTCTTGGATCGTTGCTATTGTTTCCTCCTTTCAGCCATATTATACGTCGTGAAAAACCATCGATACAACCACTGATGCAAATGCCAAAAGGTTTTAATTTGTCATAGCAGTCCATGTGCCATAGAAAATTGGGTCCTTTATTATGGTACTGCCTACGCCTTAGCCTCCGACGTGAACGGAAATCGACACCTTCGGGATCAATTATCTGTTGCAATATTCGTACTGTTTCTTGAGTCACCACTAGGTTATTTTGTATACATTTTAAGTGCATCCATTTGTACCCATGTAACTGGCTGTGTCCTCTCATGTTTTCCTCTAGAAATCGTACCACACTTTGGATATCGGTATAATTCTTTCTCCTAAAGAGATTAAGTTGTCGAAGCTTTCTTCTTAAATGTCTTTCACTGATAAGTATGTTATGATTAAGAGCTAAACATGATACTATTTCAACTTGTTGAAGGCCCATTGTAAAATAAATTTTAATAAGCTCCTCCATCGTTTAGTAGCTTTAAATAGGTACACACGCACATACACACAACACACTTTAAAGGTGAAGATCAATGCTCATTAAGCTCATTTAACAAGTGACTGGATCGAAATTTCGGTGTGAACTGTACACTCAAAGGTTCACATTTACATCACTAAGTTGCTAATTAGAACTTATAACTTGCAAATATCCTCAGTTGTTATAAGTTGCAATTAGCTTTAATTGTAACTTATAATTTGCAGTTAGGAATAATTGTAAGTTATAAGTTGCAATTAGTATAATTGCAAGTTATAAGTTGCAATTATAATTTTTTTTCGTAGCATGTCCGTTCAGCGCTTTCGTAAAGAGGTACAGCCAACAAGAAAAAAAAAACATGTACTGATTTCTGGACCAAATTGTATTTCATCCTACAACATCAACATGGGAGGGACCGACCGTATGGACCAAAGAATAGGAAATTATAGAATTGGAATACGCGAAAAGAAATGGTACTGGCCACTTTTCACTTGGTTAGTTGATGCTGCTATACAAAACGCGTGGTTTTTGTCTAGAAAAAATCTCAACATTTCTACTCTGGAATTCAGGCGAGAGATAGTTTAAGTTTATTCAACTAGGTACCAAAAACATTTTACCAAATATAAGGTTTGATAGAATGGACCATTTTGTTGTTTCCTGCCAAAGACGGCGTTGTGGACAAGGATGTAAATCATTTGGTAGGACTATGTGTCAAATATGTAATGTTGGACTTTGCATTAGTTGTTTTGCTTCCTATCATACGAAATAAATTGATACATGTATTGTTTACTTTTACTAAACCTTCATTTAATTATGATCAATTTAACTATCTTTTAAGGACCACGGATACAAAAAAAAATGTATTTTGGGTCATTTTATCATCCAGGTAATAAAAAAATATAAGAAAAAAACAATAATAAAATAGGAATTTCCAATTTCGGTCCTTAGTTGGTTAAGACTGGTTCCAGAAAATTCAAGAAATTTATACTATAAACAATATGACCAGTTACTTGCTTGGATATAGCGGAAAAAATGTAATGATGTGGATGAAACGGTGATGCTAGCGTACATGATGAAAATGGAATATACCCATATAAATAGGTACTTAAAGTTGTCGAATGAGATAGAAGGAATAAGCATTAAATTATTTATTTTGAGATTTTCATTACATTTTCCTTTTCTTTTAGTCTCTTGTTAGATATTGATCAGCAAACTTCTGTGTGAAATGGATACAAAATTTGTTGAACGACTTTCGCATTACCTTATTTGGATCCCAGCAAAGCAGAAGATAGCTTAGCTCTTGATTTGTTTGATATATTGCTAAATGATGAAAGACTTTAAATTTAAGATATGCTGATTATTTAACAGACAATTATGTTTCCGGGGAATCGGCTTGTCCCCCTACAATCTGGGCCAAAATGTCAGCAACACTCGCACGTACAACTAACGCATGTGAATCGTCTCATAGCCATTTCAATTCTACAACGTTCAAGGCGCGTCGAATTTTTTTGTATTTGTGGGAAAACTAAATATATTTTAAAATCCAGACCGTCAATTTTACGGAAAAAATAAATTTTACCTGCCTAATGCCCCACAATGTTGAATAAATTATAAAAAATGTGTAGGGTACGAAACACATTGTCTAATTAGTACTCTTATTGGCTTCGGTACGAATCACACATTACTCTTTTAGGGGCAGATATTTTTTAGAATTTGTTATTAGCAGAGCAAATAGGCTAGCCCTACAAAAACAAAATTGGGTTGGATAGTTGCGGGAGCGCTTAGTGCTGTATATTCACAAAATTCTCTTGTAATTTTGCGAAAACCTCAAATACTATCGAAAATCAAATAGAGAAATTTTGGTTATCGGAGAAGTGCCTAAGAAAATAATACACACCGCGAGAGAAACCGAGGTCGAAAATCATTTTAAAAATACGTTCGTTATTAACGAATCTGGTAGTTTTACAGTCTGCTTACCCTTTCGCGAAAATAATGCCAGGGGCGAGCATATGAGATCGCAAAATAGGTTTCAATCTTTAGAGCGGAAGTTGAATAAAAATCTTTACATAAAAGAAAAATACTTCAAATTCATCGCTGAATACATAAGGTTAGGACACATATCCCTTGTTAACAGTAATCACGTAAAATTACAGCTTAATTATTATTTTTAACTTCATTATTACGTATTGAAAGATTCGTCGACCCCGATAAAATTGTGCGTAGTCTTCGATGCGTCGTGCAAATCTACCTCCGGAGTTTCTCTGAACTGAAACCTGTATCCAGGATACTTTATTATTTTCGTTGCGCTTTTGAATTTATGCTATTGTAATCAGTGCTGATATTGCCAAAATGTATCGATGTATTTATGTTCACGAAGACGACCATAAATTTTAACAAATAGTGTGACGTTTTAACACAACTGATCAGTTACACATTTATTAATTGAATACTACGTAAGGTATCGCTTGTATCGTATTGAAAAAGCCAAACATATGCTTAAAGTTTTGGAAACCATCTCCGATGTGGGTTCTAGAAGAAAATCATCTACCATCAAATATAAGTATTTTTTGGACTTGGATATTAGTTCTGGCAGTGAAGATCTCCCATGCATTCCAATTTCCCCAATCCCTTTTTTGACTGAAAAGATTGATGGAACTAGTCTTCTTGAAATCAGTGGAAATTCTTCTATCACTAGTTCCCCCAAAAAAATCTGACAATAAAGCCAAAAGCGGCAACTAAGATCAGTGGAAATTCTCCTATCCCTAGTTTCCCCCAAAAAAATACCTACATAATATAGTTTTTTAAAAAATTGATACTATTTTATCAATGATAAAATACATGAAAAAAACAATATTGGATCATAAACTCATTGCAAGGTATAGTAAAAAAAAAATTTTATATATTTTTCATTTATTTTATATTCATTTTAATATTATAGCCCTAAAGAAGGAGGAAAAGGTCCGAAAGCTAGGCATTGTAAAAAGAGTTAATAAACAACTATTGATTGACCGATTCCCAATTATTCGCAAACTTATCAATTATCAGCGGTCGTTATCTATAAAAATATATTGATATTTTAGGAATAAATTAATTGCTATGGTTGACGTTGTCTGTATGATTGTATAAAGATAAAAAGTAAAGTAAAGTAAAGTAATTAAATCTCTTGTTGCTCCATCTGATGCTATATTTAATTTGGTTAAGGTAATTCAAAGCCATTTCACACGGGCAATTAAGCTTAAAATGTATAGAAGTTTTTTTTTTATATTATGGCAACTTCGACTGTAGTTATTTGTCAGTGATGACTCAATAGAGGCAGTTCCAACAATCTGGTTAGATGGAAATATGTCATTGGCCTAGGTATGAAGGAACCAAAATGAATAAAGCAATAAAAAATTGCGACCCTGTGTTGCCATCAGAAATGCAACCTACCGTGAAAAGTTTAAAGAATATATAATAACGTCAGTTCCAGAAAATTCAATTGATGAAATTTTAACAATATTCATCCAATATAATTCAAATATTCAATTCACAATAGATAAAGAAAAAGATCAAAGCGTTCCATTTCTTGACACATTATTGATAAGATCTAATAACTGACTGGTACACAAAACCGACTTATTCAGGAAGATATATCAATTTGCACTCATATCACACTCAAAAAATGAAAATAAATCTCGTTCTTGGATTAAAAAATAGAATTTTCAAAATATGTCACTGTTAAAAAAAGAATTCATATCCTGAATGGTTTTTAAAAAAATTCCTTATCAACACATTACAAATTCAAAATAATGGTGCATCTTTTGATGATATAATAAATCCTGTAAATAATATTTCAAATATAGTCAATTCAAACTCCATTAATGATAACATTGATAATTCAGTTTCACAAAACCCTCCAAAAATTCAACAAATTAATAAAATTTATTATTTCTCACTACCATACAAAAAAGAATTATCAAACAAATTTGAAAAAATATTTAATGGAAATGTTAATATTATTATCAAAATTTGTGGCAAACATTTTTTAAAAATTTCAAATCTATTCAAAATATAAAGATACTGATAAGAATTTAAAAAAATCAGGAGTTGTTTATTCCATAGAGTGTAATGACAGTTATGCAGAACCTAATGCCGAAAACCGATTTGAAGTAAGGATGAGCATAAAAAAATTCCCACATGGTGCAGACTTTTCCGCGGGCACTGTATATTTTGATAATTTTCTAAAGCGTAGAAGAAATCCTTGAATAACCGTTGAGGGTCAAGGTATTTTAAAAAAATTTGAAGAAGAAAGTCCTTACTGAGGCAGACAGGAAAGACTTAGTTGATTTAATAGTAAATCATCTTTTAAATCAGAAAAAAATTCTAGGAGTTTTTACAATTAATAAATATGCAGAGGAAATTGTGAAAGAATTTCCAGGTGAAATTAAATTAAGTAATTTTTTTTT